GTCTGATGGGGCAGTGTGAAAATTTAGGTATTACAGGCATCCAAAGCTGAACAAAAGGGTAGATGTTATTCTGAAGAACAGAATTGGTGCACATGCACAGAGCAAAAACCAAGACATTCACTTTAAAGAGGAGAAATGTCAAATCCATTACACATCTTTGAAGAAGCCAGTCAGCACTTGGACACAGGAGGGCTGCTCGATATAGCATTCTTCAGCTTTCAAAATGTATTTTATAAGGCTCCTAAAGGGTCTTAAAACATAGTCAGGACTGTTCAGATTGAAAAAGGCACAGCTAAAGGAAACAACATGCCAGAAATTTATGAAGCAGTGTGTTTCTTTTTCATTGTAAGAATTTGATGGCATCAAATTAAGTGGCAAGTGCCAGAGTAACAAAGAAATCCAAAGAAAATTCTGAAACATGATTAATATTCCATAGTGCAATCACCTGCACATAGAGAACTATAAATGCTGAAAGTTATTTGAAAAAATATATTTTTGAACCCACGTAAAATGAAATTAAAATTACACATCAATAGCAGAGAACACCAAGTCTTCCTATTTGATTTCTGAAAAAAAAATTGACAGGGGGCTGAGAAAGCTTGCAGCAAGTAATGCCACTCACTTCTCTTCTTCCTACAGACTTTTATAGGCACCTACAGCTGAGCACAAGACAGTGGTTTGAATGGTGGTTTAGATTTACTTCATGGTGAATCTTACATGGGATTTGTGGCAGAACTGAATTCACTTAAGTCTACAATTCCTACTGCTGACTCTTCCTCATTATCTGCTTGGTTTTTATTTGCTGTTTATATTCACAATGGCCAAAATTCACCATTGCAAGCAAAAATAACCAAGAATGAATGGTATTTTCTCCTTCAGCTTAATGCTTTCATTAAGAAAGTAAATACACCAGCCTTAAAATATGACATTTTTCAATACTTGACTTAATGGTAACATCAAACAATAGCCTAACATTTTTAAAACAGACATTCAGCAACTGATCAGCAAGACAAAAGAGGAAACAAAATTAAAGGTATAAGGTTAATAGCTAATTTCTTTACTAAAGGGGAACTTCTATAAAATGCAGCACTGAGTTGTGTTTTACATTAAAAACGGTGATTAGAATTACAGTCAGTACGTGAATAGACTATGAGAACTCACTTCCAATACTGAACTCTAACCACTGTCTTTGATATGAATTACAATGATGTGTGACTTGACAACAGTGTTAATAGCTGGCACACAACATTTCAAGTGTTTCTGAGTAAGTCTTCCTGCCTAGTGTTATTCAATAGACCAGCACGCATGCAAATATTTTACCAAACAAGAGGGATAGCAAGATCCTTGGAATTCCTTGCTGGTTTATATCAGCATTATTTCTCTAACAAGAAAATGAGAGGTTTTACAACACAATTTTCACAGATGTGAAATTGTTATTATAAGAATCAGGTCCAAACTCTACATAAATATTCCCCAGAGTTCTAAATAAACTGTATCATCCTTCAACAATCTCACTGAGTCTATCTGCATGTTGTACGCCTCTAACATATTTCAGTACAGTTGAACTAGACCCTATAGGCTTATGTGTTATCGGAACTACTCCATATTATTTTATCCATATTCATTACAGAAAACATGAAAACACACAAAAACAGAGAAGTAATTCAGAAGTAAATGGATCTACTTTTTAAAGTGAGCAATACCACCTTCAACTAGAAAGTTAAAATTAATAATGAGAAGAACAAAGTATTTTTAAAGCAATTCATATATGCCCACATGAATCAATTCACTAGGAAAGGAAAGCATTGACATGTTAGCCCCCGGGTAAAATGGCAAAGAAACTACAGCAGGTTCAAAGATAATCTATGCACAATTCTAACAAGTGCTTGTGAACCAAATCACAATTGTACCAACGCAAACTCACTAAAAGTAACATGCTGAACGTAAAAGAGTTTAGGATGGGGGTTTTTTTACTATTTCTTTTTTTCAGTTGAGGGTATAGATATTATATAGATCATTTCAGAATATACTGAAAAGTAAACAAATGCTAATTTAGAACATAATGATGCATGATAAGAGGATCAATCCATTACTAACACCATGTCTAAAATGTGTCCTAAAGGTCCTTAATCAATAACGCGTGGCTACGAATAGTGTGAATGAAGTTTGAAAACTGAACAATTCTTGGATGATTCCAAAGACATTGTGACTAAGAGTTACTTTAATTAGTCGAGACAATCTGCTGTGATGTACAAGGTCTATCCATCTATCATCTTCACACGAACTACATCTGTGGCATTTAGAAACAGCAGATATTTTTGTTGCTCTTCAGCACCTTCCTATTTTGTTTGCTGCCACCTTTTCACCTTTCCTAGAGCAGTGCCTAATGTCTGCCTGGGAAATTCACAGTAAGGACACGAGGTGGAGAAGGTTCTTTAATTTGCTCCCCTGTCCTTCTATCCACCACAAATCTAAGGGTCACATCATCAGTTTTTAGACTACTTTTTCTCCCTCAGGAAATGACCTTAATAACAGAAAACTGCAATGTGTCCCACTGCCATGATTATTATCTGATGCAATATCTGACACTTCCCTTACCTCCACTGTTTCCTTTACTGTTTTCCTTCCTTGCAACCTAAAATGCCTATTTTAGCAACCCATAAAAATCAGACTCCATAGTTTTGAGTGTTTATCTTTCAGATATATTAACGTCATTAAATACTATGAGTTTCTGATTAAAGGTAAGTCAAGTAGCTACATTTCATAACCCTAGCTATAAGATCATGAGCTAAGTTAAGAGTCATGATCCAATATATTTTTCAGAGAGACACAGTACAGAATGGCTTACAACAGTCAAAACATACAAGAAAAGCGAATTGATATACCATAGGAATAGAAACCACGAAATTCATATCTACTCCTCCTTACCACTAGAAAAATCTAGCAATTTGATCATTTCAGATCACAACACAATAGAGTACAAGACTCAAAGCTGGAACAAAAAGACCTCAACCATTAATGAATAACTGTGTCTGACTTTCTATCTGTACATAGAACCTATACATTAAGTTGGTAAACACATGAAAGACAAGGTATCTTATGATACTTCTTTTTCTGAATACAGAATTTGCATCATCAAATCAGCTCTTGCCCTGCTGTAGACATTTGCTAAAATATAGTAGAGTTTTTCCACAAATAACAAATTAAATCCCAAAGGATTTTTGTTCAGTGTTACTTATTTATCTTTCATCACAATAATGACAAGCAATTTTCATGTGCCTAATGAAAGAGGCAAAGAAGAGCATACAGCTTGAGTAACTCTGAGCTCCATGTGTACAGATTGATTAGACATCAAACCAAAACAGAATCAGTTGTGATCTAGTGTTCAGCATAGCATGCATCTGGCTCCCAATTTGTTCACCAGCAGTTTGTGCAAATATGAATATCACCTCTGTCATGCTTTGATGCATCAGCTACTTTCAGCTAAAGTTATTAGTAAGTCAAAGAATCAGGAAGATGGCAGACCAAGAGAACTGCCTAAATTCCACTCCTCTAGAAAGCTAGCCAAAGAAATTATTTAATTAAAGGAAACAGGCCAGTAAGACATGCAAGAAACAGAAAAAAGGTCTGTTAGTATCTGGAATGTAGTAGCCCATCCTAATATACCAGTATCTGATACACTGATACTTAAAATTATTAATAGGTAATTGGATATCCAGAGCTGCTCTTTAATAATATGCTGTAAAAAGACAATCTACCTACATTAAGCATAAGGGCAAATACACACAATTACTCAAAGATAATTCATTATGCAGAGGCAAAGTGCTGCTATACTATCCAGCATTCTAGTTACAGAAATATTTGTCATAACTCTTAAAGTATTAGAAAATAGGTTAATTCTAAAATTAGAGAGCTGTACTATTTATTTGTATAATACATAAAATCCTGCAGTAGCACAAAAAGCTTCTATAAAACAAAACCACAATTAAGTACATCCAGTGTATTCAAACCATTTAAAATCCCAAGCTACTTCCTCGCTACTTCCAAGCTATTTCCTTGTCAATTTTTAGTCTACTTAGTATTTTAAAGCAGTGTTCACAGCAGCATGATAAAAGATTAAAAGAGGATTATTTCATCCTTAGTAATAAAAATAGTGGGAAAACAAAATTAACTTCCATCCTTATGCTTTTTTAGTCTTCTGCCCATTTCAATCACCCAAAGCAAGACAGTACTGTGCACAGTGACTTCTTAGCCATGACATTATTAGACACCATGAACAGACAATGGTGGGTACAAGAACAACTTGATTTTCTGGGCAGGTCTGGGAAGAGGAATGTCTGCACGTGTGGACACACATGAGAGAGAAATGGTTCCTTATTACTATGAACAAACTCAGTCTAAGTTCTATGCGACTTTTGTGTGTGTGTGTGTGTCCATGACAGCTTAAATTTAAAAAAAAGAAGAGGGAGACATTAAGATACTTTAAGACATTAAGTTCACTCATTCTGCGTTAACCTATGCCAAACATTACAATCCATGCTAAGGAACTTAAAAGGGCAGTTATATTTGCAGAAAACCTGAAGAGCTTTAAAGTTAATGGACAGGTCTCTAAGCCTTTCACAAATATATTACCTTTGTCCTTGTACAAACATGCTTAGCTGGACAAGGTTTTTTAAAATGTTTTGGTATTATTTTTTTCTACTTTTTAAATGATAATTTAGATGTTAACATTCTTATGACTTTGTGTCTAATGCTTCACTGGCTAAATCCACACTAAAATAACCAGGATGGTTTAAAATTGGCAGAAAAGAGACAAGGTTGTGACAAAAGATATGATAGTCTCCAAGGATTTTCAAAATGTCCTAAGTGCTAATCAAAGTATTATGATAGTGAGATCCAAGTTATCATTAATTCCTGATGGGAAAAAAAAAAAAAAATAAAAATAAATAAAAATTAAACAAAAAGAACCCAGAATAACAGGGAATGTATAGTTGTATCACCTCACAAAAGCAGGGCTGTGTTCAGTCAGGGCCACCAAGAGTTTCAGTGCATGTATTGGTACTGGGTCTGGAGCCATTAGAAGCTGCTCATACCTGGAAGGGAAGTGGGACACAGGGTAGCAACAGTGACAAAAAGTCAAGAGATGTGCATTAAAAAGTTAATATAAAAAATACATAATTTCCCATATCCAAAGATTATCATAACCACAACGGAAATACAATAGTACTTGGAACTGTACAAAGCAATAAACAAAATTTACCTAGAAACAGTATTTTAAAACTAGCATCAGATTAACTTTAAAAGGAGCATTAATAAAACAAATTATTTCGAGAGATACACAACTATAAAATATGTAATAATGTATATATTTATAAAATACATGCTTTTATAAATATACAGTACATTAAAATACATTTATTAAAGTTTATTTTTCTGTATGAATATTATTTATTAATCTACAATATATTTGTATATATATTTTAAATATCTAATTTTCAAGAGCTAAGTAGAAATGGAGCCCCAAAATTTTAGGCAGATTTATTGGGTGCTTAGCCTATGGTATGCCTCTGGTGTGTCTGCAAGATTTCTGTACATAGCTCCACATGGCAAAACCAACTGCCTCAGCTTCCTACTATGGAGTGGAAATCATTAGCAGTAAATGTGAAAAGAGTCAACTAGCTAATAGTTAAAAAATAATCCTGTCTATCCTGAATTGAGGAAGATAGCATAAAGGGAAAGCAGGTGCAACACTGGGTGTAGCTGCTGTAGTTCTGCAGGGCAGTTTTCCAATTCTTGTCAATCTCAGACTGACCTGAAGAGTGGATGACCTTAAACTTGGTTTCTGCTAGCATAATCCCCACCTGACAGCTGTGGGGATCCTGTTTATTTTAATATATACTTATTGGCATTGGAAAATAACAGCATTTCTATCATTCAGGAGGTCCCAGCCAAATGCCAGAAAGAAAACTGTCCAACAGCACATAACCAGACTGTCAGCACTCTCAGGTCTAATGTTTGCTATAAAGGAATCTTCTGCACTGCCTGGTTTATCAGCTGTTGCACCTATGTCCCTGGCCTAAACTTAAGGGGAGTCTACTTTGGGTCATTTCAGTGCATCCAGGCAGAATGTTTTTCAGGATCAAACCCTCACTCTGGATTTGTATCTCAGTATTTGCAAGTCTGACTTTCCAATTAAATTGTCTCAGCATGTTACCCCTGTCCAGCATTAGTGTTGCTTGTTGAGAGACCAAAGTGGCAGATATTGCTGCTTGTGTCCCTTTTCCTTCCCCTGTTGCCTGGTGGCACTGCTCAGGTCCCTTCAGTCATCTTTGCTTCTGCACCTGTGAAACAGGTGTAGTTGAGCCTGTTTTGTTTCCCCTCCTTGCCTCTTCCTTGCCCTTCTTTGACCTTTTTTGACCTTCCTTGCCCCTCCTTTCACTTTCTTGCCCTTCCTTTCCCTTCTTTGCCTTTCCTTGCTCTCCCTTGCCCTTAGACATTAGAAAGAAGTTCTTCACTATGAGGGTGGTCGCACACTGGATCAGGTTGTCCAGGGAAGGTGTGGAGGTCCCAACCCTGGAAGTGTTCAAGGCCAGGCTGGATGGGGCTCTGAGCAACTTGATCTAGTGGTGAGTGTCCCTGCCAATGCCAGGGGGTTGGAAACAGATGATCTTTAAGGTCCCTTCCAATCCAAACCATTCTATGATTCTATGAAAAATACTTTAAAATAATGTCAATTGAGAGCTATGGCAGTGAAGGTACAACTATAAGAAATACATCTATAAAACATTTCCAAATATCACCACATGGAAATCTTGGAAAGGGAAAACAGGCCTTCTGAAAACCAAAATGGACCTTGTTGTTGCTGCTAACATTCCAGTAAAGCCCACCCAACAAACAAGGCTATTTTTATTTTGTCTAACTCAAAACCTATCTGGAGGGCAATAGGATACAATGACGGAAGAGAGAAAGATGTAAGCATAAAAAACCACAGACTCAGCCATGTCAAAACACTGTCTTTCATTACAAATAGTGCTACTTTAAACATGTGGAAGTAATAGAATCGGAAGCATAAATCTCTTCATTTGTAAAGGAAGAACCATGAAGAATTAAACAACTACAAATGAAAGGATGATTTGTAGGAAAATGCGGTAGGTTATCATGTTTTGTGCAACCAAATACTTCCACTGCATTTTTTTCTTTTTGGGTTCTGATGGGAGAAGGGGGTAGAATCAAGCAAATTCACTAAGAATTTTACTTCAGATCTTGAAATCCCTACTGCTGCCTGAACTGAGGAATATGGATCACCTCCCACTTCCTGGGTGTTGGCGTGTGCTAAATTCTTCACTGGACTGAAGATCCTGGGTCCCCAGGCACCACACCTCAGCACTCTGATTTACACAAGAAGGAAATCTAGGAGGTGTGTTGCTTTCTGGCCAAGTGTCTGATCTGGACAACTCTAAGACTAGGATGATGAAGCACACCAGCTGTGCATTCTTGACGTAGCCTGTGGGACCTCCTTCACAAGGGCTAACATTCCCAAACAAGCACACAGCCTATGGGCAGTGTATCACAGCTACTACATTTTAGCTTGAATGTGCTGCTGTCAAGTTGCAAACCACACTGGAGATGCTACACTATTAACCAATTAGATGTCAGTGTCAGCCTTCAGTGATTAAAATCTCCCCTTTTTAAAGAGCATATTCCAGTTTCTGAAAGAAAACTATTTCTCATTGGTAATTCACAAGTCCCTTCCTTCAGAAAAGAAGAAAATATTATAATGCATTAGTAGACACTGATCCTGGATTTAGGTGTTCAGAATGGTAATTCCTAACAGTAATAATGAATTAATCAGCCGTGCTAGCTTAAAAATCTAACACTTGGCAATATACTTGTTTTATTATAAATACACTAATATCTTCCCTAAACAAGGTCCACTTTAAACCATTTTAAGATTTCTGTGTATTACTTTTGATTCATACGACTACATTTTATAAGGGTTCTGTAAATACAAGGTACTACACTGCAAGGAGTTATTTTTTGTTGTTTGTTGGCTCAAACCACAGGTTCAAGTATTGTATTAAATATATAGACATCAGTTAACTTTTTCTGATCACCGGAAGACTTACATTCTGCTTTACTATGCTCCTAAGCTAGAGCAAAAATTGTTTGCACCAAGTTCTAATCTATTCCTAACAAAATAACCTTCAATAATTATTTGCTTCAGATAATTTCAAAGTCCTTTTCAAATATAAGTATCATCACCTCTACTACTGGGATAAAGGAACTGATTTAGAAAATACTTAGAGCCCGGAACCAAGATTATGAGCTACTGCAAGACCCTTTTTTATACATCTACAATGCAATGCATCAAAGAAAGCATATGAGAAGTCCCCAAGGTAGGACCATATTTAGTCTCAACCCAAAAAACCTCTGCCACTCAATGAGCTAATTAGCTTGGAGACAGGAGTATACTGGCTGTTTACATTTTAGTTTGGAATAAGATCCTCCCCACCAGTTCAATGAGAAACACTTAATGACATAAGCATGTCTACTCAGAGCAAGGACAAACTAGGTCTTGCTTGAAACTGGGTCTCTTCTACTATCTGAAGAAAAGTATCTGATGGCTTTTCATATTGCATAAAGTCTTTTTAAAAAAAATTTTTTTCAGTTTCTGTATTAATTCATAATAAAAATTTCTGTATTCCCCAGTGAAAAAAAATAGTATGAAGTGGAAAAATAAGCTTCTCTAGAGAGCTCTAAGATTTTCTTCCAGTTCTCTCTTACACAGACTTTGGTCCTCAAATTGTAAGAACATTAGTGAGTCAGAGGCAGTCTCATTTGGAAGATGGCATTGTGTTTCTGATCATAAACCAGCATCTACTCCTCCACCCTTCTGTCACTTACTTAATGTTGGGGTGGGGAACTATTTCCTCACTTAGGGCAGCGAAGTATTTACAATTAGTAACTTTTGAGGACCACACATTAAAATACACTGTAACATTATTAGAATACTATGAAAGATAAATTATGACTTATCTTTCCTGTACTCATTCTGTGTGCGTGCTTTCCCTCCCTCTGCTCACAGATGTAATCAACCCACAGTATGCTTGTGCTTAACACAGAGAGCTGTCTTTAGGCTCACCTGCAAGTCATTTTGAAAAGACAGGCCTCATTTGACCATAAACCATATAAATGAAGTTCCAGACCACATCTAGCCCACAGGCTGTAGTTTCATCTGCTCTGCTGTACCTTTTTTGCGCTGTTTAGGGCAGCAGGAAAGGACAGCAATTTTGAGGCAATAACCCTTGGGTGGATCATGGAGGACTAATCCATATGATTTCAGAGCATCTTGCATGAGGGCACGATATCCAAAATAGACAAAAAAGAAGTTGCTGTTAGAATATTTTGGGTTTACTAGTGGAACAAAGAGGAGTATTTAAATCACAGCCTGAAAGCTCAGGGAAAATTACTTTACTCCAAGAGCAGCCAGAGGCACAGTATAGGAAAGGAGTGTCGCACATAAGTTGTGTTTCTGTTGTATATGACAAAGTACTAAATAAACCTCGGGGAAAGACGTTGGGCAGAGAATTCTGGCAACAGTTAGTTGCTATTCCTCTTTTCAGTTTGCCATTTAAACATAAAAAGGGTAGTTAAAACAAACACTCTGTCAAAATGGATTGAGTATCAAGTTATTCCCTGTTATAGGAGCAATATTATACTTACTGAGGCAGCAATGAATCTCTAACAAGAGACAGAAGCTTGCTGTTTGAGTCGAGGCTCTCCCCTTTCTCTTCAGCCATGACCTCGTGGCTTAAAAGCAGTGATGTGGTTTCCAAGAGCAACCGCAAGCAGAGGAGTCTCCATTCCACTTGAAAATAAAGGTGCCAAGAATGTGACTACACTGAAGTCTAATTAAAACAAAATGTGGAATTCATGGAAACTGCAGTTGATGTGGCTGTATACTTACCATTCTGACTGTGGACCAAAGAAACTAGTGGTGGGAGGATACAGTCTTTAACCTAAAACAGAGAATTAGAAAGATCTGGCTTAGATTATTCACAGGCGAAAAAAAAACCAAAACAGAGATACCCTATCATCTATATATATTTCACTGCTAAAGTCTTTAATCAAAGAGATGAATAATCATGGAAATTCATCCATAGTCACATTTACAAAGCCAACAAGTTCACTTTTCTCTGGTAAGCTGTCAAAGTTACAGACAGTAATGTACTTTTAATAACGAAAACAACAGCAACTTTGTTTACAATTCATTAAGAGTGAATTTTAATTTAAAATACAGAATTCAGTGCAGATGCAAGATATTAAGAAAAAAGAGCATTAGAACATCTATTAATCCATAAATTAATGATTAAATAGAATTCATAAGAAACCTCCTTCTAAAACAAACCTGCTTAGAACTAAAATGCAGAAGGAAAGATCTACTAACTCTAAAGAAATATCTTCAGATTAGTGGGGTCTTGTAAAGACTTTTCTTTTTCCATTCTGGTAATACAGTCTTCCATTAACATTCACTTTTATAGACTTCAGATTTCAAATATGAAAGAAGATAAACCAGTGAAGTCTTTATTGTCTATGTCTGAATTGCTACAGATTAAGAATCTGTCACATGTCTAGTCATCTTAGTTTCATCTGTAATTAGCTTATGGCAAACCAGGCTATAACTTAGTTTTATGTATCTAAAATTAGAAGAACAGTGTATTACTAGCATTATAAGTGAATGAATTGCTAAGTGTTAAGTCACTAGTAAAATATAATTGATTTAGACAGGGCATGTTTTGTTTTTGGGGAGAGCATGGATGGACAGCCCTGCAATTTTTAAGCATGCATCATAGATACACAACTTGCCCTAGGATTTATTTCTACAAATAACATTACTGCATAGGTTCTCCATACATCATGGACACAATTTGGTGTAACATGATTGTGTTGTTATCCCCCATGAGTTTTCTTTTAGTGATTAATACTAGAAGATAGAATTTCTCTACAGTTTTTCAGTTTCTATTAAGAAACATCTATAGAACCTGAAAGTATATATGAAAAAGGGTCACTAAATAAAATAAGCCTCTAGCCAGCAATAAGTACAATTAGCAACTATTTTATTGTTAGTTGGTGGTCTCTGTTAAACAAATCTCTGACATTAAGGAATTCATTTAGTCTAGCTGTTTTTCACTTTTGAAAAAAAAAAATAATGAAAAATTACCAAAATATGTCTTTGTCACATACTTTTACAATAAAAGAAGTAAGGGAGGTATTCCATACCTGCTTGAGGTATGGAAGACAAACAATTCTTGCAAGCACAAAAAACCTTTATGCTTATAACATAATGCTACATATCATAGATGTAGTGACTTTTTAAAGACTTCATAATTTTGAAATATTGCATGCTTTTTCTGTTAATAAGATAAATAATAAAACTACATTGAGCTCCAACAACTCTATTACTGCAGGTTTTTTAACTGTTCCACAAACAGTAATTCATCAATAACATACCTGTGAGGAAGGATAAAAAAAAGTTTGTATTTACTGTCTTTCAGTCCAAAAAAACAGTTCAACCTATTGTAATACTTCTCAAATGAAGTGGTAAATTAAAGGTGTGAGACAGAAAATAATCAAAAAAACACCTATCAATTGTCTAAAGCAACACAGGGACTCAGAATATCATGAATCACTCAGTAGCAGCAGCAGTATTGACTCAGACTGATACTAAGATGGCACTATACAGCAGTATGATGAAATTCAATTTCTAAACCATCAGATCTTTCACCTTCACCTAGTATTAACAGTAGTCTTTCCACCTTAGCAAATGTAGTTAAGCCAATCATAAGACTTTCCTATGATGAATATATTTTAAACTGTCATTATAAAGAAGATTCTTTAGGTCTTAAATAATTGTAGTAGTTTTTCTAAGTTTTTTCTAACACAAACTTCAATTTTGGCAAATAAACTGTTTAGAACAGAATTCTCCATAGCAGGTGTTTGTCTCATACCAGTTGGTAGTAGGGAGATCAACTATATGAAGCACTAATCCTAAGGAAAGTTTTTTTATGATGAAAGACTGTATCAGTATGCCCATCCTGAAGAGCGAAACAAGCATTAAATTGTATATAAACCTTAAATCAGATACTTCCTAACTCTGCCACCCTCATTTTCTCTCCATGCTATTTGTATTTTGTTTTATTCCTAACATGTACATAAATTTGTAAACAAGATATGAACAATTACTGAGATGAATGGCACAAGTTTCTGTAAATTATATATACAGAAGCATGGCATTAGTGTTTTGGCATTTTCTAGAGGGACTGAAACAGAAGAATACTCAAACATGGATCCATTTTTTCTTCTTTCAAATAACTACTGACCCAAAACAGGTGGAAATTCTCTTCTTTAAGTCTAAGCAGATTAAATAGTTTAAATACAATCATAGCTATATCTGTTTTTTTAACATCATCTAGGTAGCCTGATATTCTGTTTATGATAAATCTCTAGCTACACAAAGCCACCATTGTATAATTCTATAATGGTGGAATTAAAAAGCTATGCTGCCACAACTGTGCTGTTATCAGTACCCAAAATACCAATTACATACTAGAAACTTCCATACATATTGCATCCATGTCTCCTAGCTATAATACATATGCAGGACCAAAAAAAAATAAAAAAAAATAATTAGCTCAAACCTGATAATCCTGTTTCTTTCAATTGTAAGGAATACAAGAGTAGGATAAACAGACCAAGAATAAAGCATGACTCTAGTTTCTAGTAAACTCTTGAGTTTAAGACAGTTCTTAAGCTGATGTCATATCTGTATTTTTGCATTTAATAATTCTTACTAGCCTTGTCTTCCATACTTTTCTCCAATCCTATCTTAAAAGTATTTGTGCTTTTGCATGTGCAATACTTATGGCACTGAATTCCACACTTATGCCTTATGAAAATTTTATTTTGAAGCTGCAAACTTGACCCCCCCTTATTATTATTTTATGAAAAATAATTAGTTACAATATCATGTACATTATTTACAATAAATCTTTCCCATATAATTAATAACTGTATATTCTGAAGTCTTTTGTTTCCAAGCTGAAGTTCTTATCTGCTCAGCTCCTTCTTCTATCATTGAGCCGTGCATTTTCTTGTTAAGTTTCATTCCCTTTGAGAGTGAGGGAACTCAACTGCATTCAGTATTCAAGGCTTGAGGGCACCGTGAACTTGCCATGGCATAGTGATGTTTTCTGCTCTGTTGTCTGATCTTTTGCCAGTCATTTTTAATAATCTATTTGTCTTTTTGATTACTGCTGAGTAAAAAGCTATCATTTTCCTAGAAAAATTATGCTAAAAGATCTCCAGAACAGTTAGAAGTAGTTTATAGCCTCACACTGCATGTGCATAGTTGGAATGATTTTCCCCGTGTGACTTGCTTGACGTTTATCAGTATTGAATTGCATGTAATTTTGCTCTTCTTTCACTCAGTATCTTGAAACCTTCTGCAACTCTTCTGTCAGTTTTGATTTTCACTACTGTGAATAATTGTGTCATCAGTCAGTTGTGTCACCTCCCTATTCATCATCCCCTTTTCTGGACGAGTTATAAATAGCACATGTTGCAACACAGGTCTTTGTAAGGCACCATTCTTAATATACCTAAATTTTTAAAAACTAATCTCTATTCTTTACTTAGCAGCTTTTAACCAGATAGAAGATAATTTGTCAGAGGGTAAGAGGGAAATGCCACTGACAGATTTGAAGTGCTTTTAGTGCATGGTGTTGTCAAGAACATTTCGGAAATTCAAGTAACACTACCCAAAACTAGATCTGTCTCCATAACATTCACCGATTTCTGCAAGGAAAACTCTGCTAGTGAATTATAAGTACCCAGCAAAAGTGAGTATTTTGTTACTTACAAAAATCAGGTCTTTCAGAAACAGAGCACAATCTTAATATAATTCTTATGCAAAGTCTGCATGATACTTTAACCTTCAAAAACGAGATAGAAGCCACAGTTCCAGAGTAGTTAAGTGTTCACTAGTTACTCGGAGGTGCTTGAAAGAGGAAAAACTGTCATTTTAGCTTTTCTTTTCTTGTATACGCTGTTGAGGAGTTGTCAGACACAAAGCCTGCTCCCTAAAAATATGTGCCTGGTATGGTAGAAATAAACACCATCTTAGCTTTACTTAACCTTACCAAGAAAAGTCCAAGCTTCACAAGTACTCACTAAAAGGCAGTTAAAACACTGCAAGGTCTTGCAGTGGAAGGATCCAATACAAAATACCTATAAGGACAACTTAACTTCAATTTAATTGTGCTAGTCAGCAAGGATAAGTTCACGTATTCAACATACACATGGAACCATCATCTATCAATGAACCAGCATATAACCAAACTTACCCATTACTCCCCTCAACTTAGGCTGTGGTTTATACAGATAGCTTAAACTTCTTAAGGCCACAAAACTTACCTTAACATGACTAACATTACTGACCTAAAAAAATCTCTCCCTTGATTAAAAAGGTGAGATTCAGAGCTCTTCAAATCAGTGCTTACGAGCAAAATCTTGACATTTGGTGTTACACTGGGAAGACAAAAAAAGTAAGCAGGCTTAAAGCCTGGTCTAGTAGCATTTGTGAACCATGCTGTTCTCAAGTGAAAATCAGACCCAGGCACTAAACTTACACAAGGAAACTACACTATCAATTCCATGCATCTATCATTTCTAAACTCACAAGTAACTAAACCTATTACTTCATTTCAGAGATTTTGCTAGAGGTATCTGGTTGTTTTCAGTGTACATACGTTTAACTTACAACTACTGACAAATACCTTCTCCTTATCCACTTTCAAAGTAGAACATACAAAAGTGAAGACCATCAGCTCCCAAACCCTTTTTTCCAGTCACATGTATGATCCACATCACCTTGACATTTATTGCCATTAAAATTCCACATACAAAGTTATAGCTGAAAGTGACCATGGAATTATGATCATGCTGCCTTCAAACTTCTTAAAGCATTCACTGGAGGCACAGCATGCTCCTCAGTGTTTTAATATCATCAGTAATCTCTCAGAACATAGTAAAAATAATATTCTAACGCATGTTATAATGACTTGGGGAGAAGAATGACATTGTTATAATTTTTTAATTAATTTTTTTTTTAAAGTCTTCAGAACTTCAGAATCTTCACTGATTTGGGTTTTTTTTTTCTTCTGGGAAAAGACAGCACTATTGACTGATTCAATATGTCAATTAGAATAGAACTGGTTTCACAAAAAAGTCTCATGTCATGTGGATTAGCTTAATGGACAGAAAGCCACATGCAGTGTAGAATTTTAATTTACTTGAAAACGAAAGTGATTGAAGAAAAGTTGTCCACATGTTCACATAGTCATATCCTACAGTGACAAAACTAATATGTCAGTAGTTAGATCAGAACAGCCTGTGGATAAAGAACACCACCGATGCTGAATCAAGAAAAGACTAAGACAAGCAGAAATAAATACTTGCAGAAGTTGCTAACCCTTCTGTTGTCATCTTTGGTGAAATTAATAACTCTTATGTTGTCAATCAGTACATTTCCATGTCACATACTGCTTTTCCCTTCACTTCCCATTAAGGAACTCATCATGTTCAGCATGCTTTGATTTTAGCCTGATTTTTTAAAAGAAGTTTTAAAGCCTTGAGGGGTAGAATCACTGCTAACAACTTTTGCCTCATTCAGAGAGGAACTCTCATGCTTCAGGTAAAAGATCATCTGTGCAGTATACAGATGATTTTTGGGAGCTAGTTAAGAGTATAGAAAAGACTCCCACAGGATCTGCCTGCCATCATGAACCTCATCACAGCTCAAAGTGCTCTGAATTAGCATACATCCTTTTTTCAGGCAAATAAATATATTTAAAGAAAAATGCAAATTATGCGGTCAGCACAGAATTCTTCCATTTAACTATATCTAAATCTTCACCAAACTTTGAAAATATATGTTTTTATAACACTATACAAATTTAATACATATTTTTCCATTTCAGGAAACAGGCAGTTGGACTTCTGTCACTTTAAGAAACCGGGATTTATTTTCCACTCCAGTCTCTAGATTCTTCTTGATGGCCTTCATCATCATATTTGCTTATCTGGAAATCTGCTGCTTTGGAAAACCTTGCTGAGTCACACTTAATGTGTTAGCCTTTGTATCATGTAAAAATACACACAACTGCCTGCAAAATGAAATTACTATTCACTACTGGCTTTCATTTGAGCACTTCCAATTAATTTCCCTTGACTTTATCACATTTAGCAATATGTAATACAGTCAGTCCCCACAGAAATTAATCTCCTCAGTGACTGACTTCAGGTTGATAGTAATCAGAAATTTGATTAAAAAATCAATTTATTCAATTTTCTTTTTCTCAAGGTACAAAGACAAATCAAACATGAACTACAACCCAGAAAAAAAGCAAATCTTTCCTTCTCAAAACAGAACAGAACCTGAAATGTTGCTCTTATATTCCTATTAACTTCCAGAATTTCCATTGCAGATAGACTAAAACCAGAAATGAACTGAAAAACTTACTGGTTCTGCTTGCTTAATATTTTATTAAATTCATTACACTTAATTAGAAATACATTTAATTTCTGATTAGAAACTTTAAAGCAATGACACAGTGTAGTAGAAAAACTGCATCCTTTGAAGAAGGGTTATGGCCTTTCTCCTGCTCCTCCATAAAATGCTGTTTGTAACCAAATTTGTCTATAAGAGCAACCCAGTCTTCAGAGATCAGCCTGAGATACACATTTCTTTCCAGTGACAGAGATTCCTATTAACCACCATTATACTTAAATATTGATCTGGAAGCTCAACCATGTCTTGCTTCAACTTTTTTAAAAAGCACCAAGTTCCACTGGGTGCTGGCATTTATATTCATAGATTCTAGTCATGCTCAGCCAGCAGCAATTAGAAGATATCCCTTGAGTAACAGCATTTCTAAAAATATTCTGTATGCATCACAGAAGATGAAGTACCACTTCCCACTAAAGTAATGTATGCTGTACATTCAAGTATAATTAGCACACTAGACTTCGTAAATAGTATTAAACTAATTACTGTTTGCACCAGTAGTGGCAGATGTGGCTAGAGATTATTAATTACAGTGGACAATTTCTTGAATTTAACATACCAAATACAAGGCAATTTCTCCACTTTATTTTGTATCTGAATGCCTATTTGCTGAGTGTCAGGAATGCTTTTCTACATTAGGAAGAGCTGTTACTTATGAAAATGAGCGAGTAATATATTTTATTTTCTAAAAAAATTTAAAATATGTTGATTGACAAGGATATAATTATTTTTATTTCATAAATTTAAATATACACCTATTCTAAATCACAGGAACTGTTCTATGGAAGTGCTGTGTCTCATAAATTTACAAACACTGGACTGGCAGGAGGTTTTTTACCTAGCTACATAAGGTTAACCAACCTGTTCACACAGATTTTAAGTAAAGACCTAAAACTTCCAGCATATGTGATGAAGTAAACTGTTACCTGAAAATTTATATACTCAAACAAAATTCACCTAGTGGTAGCCAGGTCTTACTTAAAAGAGAGCGGGATAGTCATGCTCTGGTTTCAATATAATGTTCTGGGATGGGGAGGGGGAGAAGGGCTGTAAAAGGAAGCCATAACCTTGGTGATATTTTTTCAGGGAGAAAATCAGAGGCCACTGAAGTTCAAACCACTGGTGGAATTTTCTTTAATGTGCTGATGCAAGGTATTGCAATTTCAGTAACTGTTGATGGCCCTCCATTAGAAAATGCTATATATTTCTCTCAAGATAAGACATACTGACAACTCACAGAAGTAAAATTACTACTTTTTTTTTTTTTAAATGCAGATGGTTCTAAAATAATTCAGTCATAATGCAGTGACTTGATGGCTGACAGACATTTAAGGAGATACCAATAGGTATTCATACCTCATCAACATTTATATTTCTTTTCTAGAACATCCTTTGTTATATTGAAGTAAATTGAACTACTGTTTCCTTCTGACTATTAATTGGTTCGATCTTTGTGCATAAGGACCATTTTCTTGCTCTTCCATGAGCATTAATGAAAATAAACATTAAACTTATTTAAATATCTTTTAATATTTTTTGTTAATTTTAATATTTTCACTTATTAAGGTTTTATAATCTGAATACTCATTTAACACACAAACCAAGTAGGATTTAGCTTCTAAAAACACTTGTATTTCTAAGATCAATCATTCTTTATCTAGTACAATCCCTAAGATCACTCATCCTTATGAATTTATCAAGTTGCTAATGCCTTTCTTGACTTACATACCCTTAATCTAAAGCCCATACAAACACATATATTTAAGTTTAAATTAAATGGTCACCCAGTAAGTATGGCAGGTTATAGTTCTCTTAGGAATTCAGGCAGAGATATGCACTGATACATTAAAATTATTTGTCAATCACTGATGCAAGCATCCCAACCTGATTTGCTGACAACTGTTTCATAATGTAAGTGCTCTGGCTTCAGCTAGCTTGGCTTTGAGTAAATAATTTAATGAAAAACTTTGAAGAGAACAAATCTCTAGTGATGTAAGAAGCTCCCAGTGTGTGCGTTTGGTAATTGTAACGCAACTGTTAGTAAACAATCTGTTATACTTTTAAAAAAGCCACCATAACTGCTATAAACTGTTACTCTTGATGATTATTTCATTAGGAAGAATATTGATAGAATGGGATCTGCAACCCTCAGAGGTGGTCCTTCCGAGATATGTTAAAAGCATAATGACAAATTAAGTGATGAAATTTTCACTAACATATAGCAACATAGTCACTTTGAGGCTCAAGGAAGACTTATAGAATTAAGTGTTATATTCACACAAAAAATATTTTAAGAAGTGCTATTTCTAAACTTTAAGCCCTTCTCATTCTCTAACTTCTCAACTAAATGTAGTAAACGGAGTTTGACTGCCATGTTGCTGCTTTGAAAATTAAATCTCTCTAAAAACAATAAGGATTTATCTTGTTAAACAGAATCACAATACATACTAAGTAATAATTTAAAGGGTTTCTCTATCTTCAAAACTTTCTATTACCAATAGAAATAGGATAATTAGCGTGCAGTGACTTCATTTATTGTCAGACTTACAGTCAAGTGATGAATTGTCAACAAGACAGGATGCTGTGTTATTGCTTCAAAGGTTGATAAAGTAGTCTTAATCAACTTTTCTGATGCAGCTTGCCCTGTTAGTAAAAATAATTGTATTTCTTTATAAAATGAAAAAGTTATAATGCCTGCTTATAAAACTATAGCAGTATCATAGTTCACCTTACCTATTGCTCCATCCAAGTTTGTTTCTCCTGAGTCTATTGATCTGATGAAATTCTACAGAAGAAGAGACATTTATATAAAAAAATATATCAAAACAAAAATTGAGAAGTGTTATCACTGAACAAGTACAACATGAAATTCTTTAAGGGACTTTAAAGGAAACACAATTTTAATTAAACTAATGTCATAATAATTCAGATATGAAAGACTGAAAGCATTCATGATCTCATGGTTATAACATAATTTTGAAAGTTTATAAAGCTGCAGGACAATTAAATGTACAGTAAAGACTATTACTTTAATATCAGGAATTATAACATTTCCTACTAAATAGGCAGTAATTAAATATTAATAAAATTGTTAAAAGAAAACTGTAATTTCTAGGAAGACTTTGAACTACCTTGGACATGGCTAAGTTAAAGAACTCGATAACAAGAACAAAGACCCCCTAGAAAAGGCAATTTTCTATTACTTGTACCATCTTTTTGCTCTTCATGCTTATACTACATACACAATGGAAACAGTTATACACAGGAGAACATACAAAAATACATTACCTTCTATTAAAAATCACCTAAATTAGTAATAATTTTGAGGAACAGGAACAATGAAATATTAATAATCTGTATTAAGTAAATAGTACACAATTAGAACCATTATTCTTTTGCCTTTTAATCTTTATTTTGCTCTTCTGCTTTCACTTCTATGCCTAGCTGTTTATTTCATAAGGGATGCAAAAAAATATGTTATTGACATTTGTGAAAGAAGGAAAAGTTCTCAGATGAAGTTATAGTATGCTTTTTTTTATTAATGTAGTATTTAATACACAGATAATGTATCATGGATTAACATTTGTCTCATTTTTTGTTTGCACACATCTGTTTATTTATATGATGTAAAGCATTAAGAAAATTATGCCTGTTTTATATTTTACTGTCAATTAAAATTTTGTTGTTATATATGAAATTGGCAGAAGTGTTATCTTGTTCCCAGTGTATAAGAAACATCTGAAGGATTCTTTTCTGATTAAAAATACAGTTAGAAACTGTTAATATATTTAATTACTTAAACATATCTCAGACGTAGCAATAAAAAACAACTGTTTCTGCAAGAAAAATAGTTCTTTTATCTTCCAGATAATTTGAAGAAAATTACTACTTATTATCTAATCAGCTTGCTTTGGAAGAAAGTAATACATGTTTTACTCATTTATGACAGTTTCACACCTAACCAGAGTCTCAAGACCAATTTGGAAAATTTAATATAATTGGTCCAAAAATTGTTTGGGCTACTAATGCTTATTTCCTTAACTTTATATTAGAAACACAAGAAGATGGATTTTTTTTTTATTTTTTTTTTTTCAGCAAGAGAGAGAAATGGAATCTGTATTCCACTATAGGTGAGGCTGTGCCCAATGCACACTGCTATGAGCCCTCTATTAGCTCTGCCTTTGGGGCAGAACACCTCCTCCATGTATTTCTATTCACAGCTGAAAACATGAAAGGACTGCCCTGACTCCCTCTCAATTTCTTTGCACAACAGTACTGAAAATTACAGTGATGATGGAAAGAACTTCAAAGGAGCAAGAAAAAAAATAATTCTCAATGAACAACAGTTGCAGGAAAATATCCACTCTTTTCCTTTCAGATACCAAACACACACTTTTCTATTCCTAATAATTTCTTATTGTTAAGAGTAAATTTTTTAATAAATAAGTAAAAATACCCAAAACCCAACCAAAACCAAAAATGAAAGACTGACTTGTTGAAGTCTTAGAGGGCTCACTTATTGCACAGTACTTTAAAAAGTACAAGCTGGTGAACAAATGCCCCTTTATGGGAAATTGCTAAAGACAAAATTCCCAAGTAGACTGTTGCCTGGTAGAATGGATAGTTACTCTTCCAGAAGTCATTCCATTAGTCGTATCATAACACAGTTCTACAAAACAAATGTCATATTCATTTTTTCAGATATACTACTTCCCCTCCCTTTTCTATATCTAAGTTGAAACAGTATTTGCAAGTTCCTGAATTGCCTTGTTCAATGGAGACAGAAGGACCAGATGCAATAATCTCCTCCTTGATCTGAGAGGAAAGCTATGCTAGTATCCCTAGCCTGGCTCCCTCAATCAGTAGTTCAAGCAAGCTGGAGTAACATCAAAAGGGAACTTACATTGTACCTGATCTGCTGTACCTATGCTGTTGACAGAAGAATTTCACCCTCTAGAAGGTTGATCCAAAACCAGTAATAATGAAAAACATTAACCTACTGCCTAGTTACAAATATTTCAAAGAGATAAAAAGCTTTTCAATTCAACATCTACAGTTCTATATTTTTTCCCTTTATTCTAATGCTAATTTTTATACAAATATTTTTGTAGAACTAAATTAAACCCACCCTTTATTGGAATCAAGAATTAAAGGAGAAAGAGAAGGGAATTTGAACAGTAAATTTTAATCTAGCTCTTTATTTCTTCATGCTACTATGGAAGTAAATAACTAGTTATCATATATAGATCTATGTACTTATCTAGTATTTGCTTACTTATTATTTACTCATTCTCATTCAGCAGAAACAACTTGGCATATGAGGAACTTACATTACAGTAGTAATACTTCATTTTTGCTATACTATCCTATGCCATGGTTAAAAAGTTAATTTCCTATTGTTAGTGTCATGAATAGATTGTAGATGACTATGTATGATAAATATCTTAGCTCTGGAGCTTACAAAACTCAGCTTTTTATCAACTACATAGAGTGCAGGAGTACTGGCAAGAAGAAGAAGATGACAAAAGGAAAGAATCCCTCAAATACAGATTAATTATAATTTATCTTTCATTTCTACTCATAAAATACTACTGTAAAATTCTAGAAAGAATATTCTGTGTAATTTAGTAATTTCTACTCTAAAATAAAGCACACAGGAAATTCAGTTTATCAGCTCTGTGCAGAGTTTCTCTATACTTGAACATAGGATAGCATATCTTCCCATTACCCAATATATTAGTAATGAAAATATTTTCTGATAATATATACAGTTTTGAATATAATCAAAGCTTAATTTTAAGATTCAGGATAAATTTATCCCTCCAAGTTATACATTTAATATAGTAAAATTATATTTAAATAATTCCCGATTTTTTAATGCAGATATATATTTTGTAAACAAGATTTAACTGAGATGGTTATACTCACAAGTAAGGTCCCATAGTTGAAAAGAAACTCATCTGTGACTATCTGGGGACGAAACACCTATTTGAATTTAGCAAAAATTGAAAAAATTACATTAAATTCATATTTCACATTTCCCACCCATGTCAAAAAAGAGGACAAAACATTTATTTGCTGCTATCATTAAGAGTTGTCTTACAATGTGCAAAAATAAGGCTTACATCTGTAATGCTACTACATAGCTGGAATACCCATCAGCATACCTACACATAGTAAAAGTTTGATTTTATCCATTCTGGTCATGATCAGTAGAATTTGGATTTTGGGAAACTGAAAGAGTTTGTCCTTCATTTAACAATTTTTTTTGGGGAAAAAATATAAATCTACCTGGGATGTAACAAGGTGAAGCACTACAGGCATCATAGGAAGGCACATCTTCAGCTGTTTGGCCTGAACTGTTGATGGGTGTTTACGTCCAGAGACATTAGTTAAAGCAGCAAGAATGTCACCTATAGAAAACAACATTTCAGACTGATCTAACATAATTGCTTTACTAAACAACAGCAAATGACATACAAAACATCTCTGTTTCAGTATCCTCTGTTCAGGATACTGAACTTCTCCCTCCTGCTG